GTGAGAGTTGAATGGGTTTAGCACCACACTGAACAGCATTTTAGCCCCATTACAGTCCGTTTGAGACAAAACGATACCGATGAATTGCAATCTAACACCCAAAACAATAGGCATAAAAGAATCAAACCGATGCGGACTGCAATAAAATCAACAGACCAACTCTAGAAAAAATTTCAGAAACTGTCATCAAATCAAAATTAATTATTTGTGCGTTTTCCAAGTTTGTTAAAAAGGGCGCGGTAGCAACTGAAAGGGAACAGCGAGAAAAGCGAGATGCACGTGCATTAGTGACGTCAGCGACATGTGATTACTGTTGTTGTACAAAGTGAGAGAACATGAAAGTCTATAATTTTCAAAGTCTATGATTTCTTCAAGGATGAGAGTGACAGGGGGTGATCCAAGTATGGAATTACTCAGTACATACAGCCCACAGGCTGTGCAGCTGGGGTATGTGTCATCTCGCCAGCTAAAAATGTGTTGAGGACCCGTTAAAGCACGTGCACCTCGCGCGCTGTCCCTTTAGGTGCTAATGCGCCCTTGTAACAAACTGGGAAAACGCACAAATAAATGATGACAGTTTCTTAAACAACTTTTTATTTCTGTAACACAAATTATGCACATTTTTCTCGAGTTGGTCTGTTGTTTTATTGCAGTCCGCGTTGGTTTGATTATTTTACGTCTATTTGTTTTGTGTTAGATTGCAATTCATCGGTATCATTTTGTCTCAAACGGACCGCACATTACATCAGCCCTTTAGCTGACAAACTAAGCATCATATCTTGTTGAATTCATGCCATTGATACATCAATCCTGGCACATGTAAGGGACACAACTCTGAATGGTCCTCAAAATTTATTCTCAGTTCTTTGCCGATTTATATTCAACACTGAAAGAAACACATATTTTTACCAAAGTTCCCTTTAATATAATTCCCTGGTAGATAATCATAAACACTGATGTCGAGACATCACAAGCAAGTGTTTGACCCACTGATCTAAGCTCCATAGTGTGCCATGGAATTGAAGGAGCTGTAATAATAAACTGTAACCTACCTGAGATGAGGGTCTGTTCATTGCTATTCTTTGTTGACAGAATCTGATTGCTTGCTCCAAGACAGGCTGGCTGCTATCAATCTGGAAAACAGAAATGTTCAAAGTTTCCTCTTACAGATTTCAGAGAATACTTTTTATTTTTCTTACATGACACAATGGTAACAAAGTGTTATTTAAAATGTTTCAGAGATGTGTGTTATTTGATTTATGTTCCCATACTGCAATCTTGCAACATCACACAATCCTTCTGAGCTAGTTTAAGAGTTTACACTACAACCATAAATAAAATACTCACATAATCCTTCTGTACAAGTTTGTATGTCTTGACAAACAGGTCCGCACAGCCATCTACAAAAGCATTCAGCTTGTGAGAAGAGTGGTGCCACACTCGGTACACTGTCATCAGGTAGTCCAGCTGCTTGTCTCGCGGCTTCTTCCGGTTCAACTGACTCAGCTCCTCTCCGATGGCCTCCAGGATTGCCTTGAAGGACGATTTGGCAAAACAGTTCCTCTCCTGGTCCCTGAGATACTTCCTAAAACATACCATGTACATATATGCAAATCACTACAGCTAAAACATCTTTACCAGGTATATGACAGAAGTCTGCGAAATAATCGAGTCTGGACTAGATAATCAAGTGATTGATGTAATGAGCATCAATCCAACCAATTGGGAAACAATTAGCCAGTCAATGAATCTGCATACCTGACAACACTTACATGCTTTGCTGAAGACTAATCCTACAGAGTGTGAGTGAGTCATGTTTTACGCCAATTTTAGCAATATTCTAGCAATAACATGGCAGGGGACACCAGAAATGGATGGGCTTCACACATTGTAATTAAGTGGGGATTTGAATCCGGGTCTTCAGCGTGATTAGTGAACGCTTTAACCACTGGACTACCCTGCAGACCTAGGGGAGAGTTTAGTACTGATAACTTCGGCTTAACAGATATATATATGTTAAGCCGAAGTTATCAGTACTGATACCCCGGCTTAACATATATATTTGTTAAGCCGAAGTATAAGTACTAAAAATACTACCCATGCAGGTCTGCAATATACCTGTAAGAAATAAATACAGAAAATGAATCTGAAATTAATCCCACTTCTAAAGTAAAACTAGTTGCAGGTGAGACAGAGTTAGTGGACTTCCACAACCAATCAGCCTATTGGAAATTTGATTACTGGTTGTCACGGGATTGAGGTTGATCCTACTGACAACTGTTTACTCACTTTCCAGTGTCCAGTGATCTGTTGAGCTGTATGTGGATGTGGTACAGCATCATGATGTCCTTCTGTTCGATGAGGATGTCTACCAACAGACGGACACTACGGTGGATGTGAAATGCAAAACTCCCTGATCTATCGATCTCTTCGATAGGAATCTTCAAAATACCCTTGAGGAAGATATGGTATAAATCAGTAGCGGACATAAACAAACAGGAAGAAATATTAGAAAAAACATCTTCTAGTAAGCCTCAATTCTTTTAAAATCACAACCTCAGGAAGTAAGTATTGAAAAAAGTCATTCATGTTGGGTTCGGCTTCAGGTAGGTTAGTTATAGAATATGCTAAAGCAGGTGAAATTAAAATTAAGGGTTGTTGGAGGAAACATTTCCAAAGCATGTTTATTCCTCTTTTATTGTTGCATACTGACATCTTCTTTCAAAACATTATCACTTTATTTGATGGGCACCCACCTGTGTAAAGCAAAACTTCCAAGATCAATTATGGATGGGTCTGAATGACAGATTCACTCTGATATTAATACTTGAGTCTAGTTGCACAATTACGATACGAAAATGTCTGCAACCTTTATCAATGTGGGCTTGCTCAACTACTGCCACAACATAGATAACTGAAACACTGTACCTGGAAGAAGTTAGCTGACCGTCTTTCTGCAAACAGACCTGGCCCAGACATGTGAGATAGGTTCTGCCAGTTGTTGTTGCTCTAGCAACAAGTCCCTGGCATACTCCAGGTTCTGGAACAATGTTTAAAAAGGAATTTTAAGACTGGTCTCAGTCTGAAACTAGGAAATTACTGTCGAAATCTAGCAATTGGTGAGGTAATACTCAAAATAAAGTCCACAAGCTAACACTTTCTGACGTTTTCTGACCTCAAGACATATTTGGACTATCAAGGATCATCGGCGAAGAATCTGTACCAAACAATCCAGTGACTGATGTCTTGTCCATCAATCTACTAGGTTCACAACTGGGTTACAATGACCAACATCAGACAAGTGTGCAAGACTGACATCCTAATTCCATTATTAGACAAGAACTGTCACAAAGACCTACTCTAACCCATTCTCTTCCCACAGAGGTTACTTGTCATTTCTTCCTACGAACCTCTGTTCTAATACGGTCATATTTCCTGGTTCTCGTAAAATCCCCTAGCGGCAAAAAAATCGCAACACGAATTATCTCCCTTCTTTCTGTCCAATCAGAACACGCGTTACATCAACTTGACTAATACAAGCAAATGTTGGGTCACAAATATCCCTGCTCTGCCAGGAACTTGTGTTGATGTGACATACAAGACATTTAATGGCTAGCTTGTCCGTTGACAACGAGGGCGATGGAGACGCCATTGATCCGCCATTTACATGACTGAGTTCTGTCTATAAGAAACGTTTGCGCATCGCGCAGGGAAAGAGCTTCTAGTTTTCCCGAAGCATACGGAAATAACCGAGGCCTTGCGAATGATCATTTTGAAACAACGTCGCTGATTGCACAACTAAATCTGATTGCAACCAATCACGAATCCTGAACACTCGCACCATGAAAGGGCCGTATTAGAACAGAGGTTCGTAGGAAGATATGACAAGTAACCTCTGTGGGAAGAGAAATGACTCTAACCTAGATCTTCGGGTTGTTTTGCTATAAACATGGCATGAGATCTCTGTCTTACCTTGTGGTATGGTGATGTCATATACACGTGAGCCAGTCTGTACAAGGACTTGTAGTGAGTCGGGAAGCGCTGCACACACAGATGAAGTGCGTCAATACACTTGTCGATCAGCTCGTTTAGATTTATCAGTATTCTTAGTTTCAGGTTTTGGAGAGTTAGAACTAGAGCCTTTCTCCTTAATCTTTCCAAAAGCTCCTTTTAGCTTCAGGTCCAGCTTTAGTTTCAGAATCTTTAAAAGAGTCAGACGTCTTCTTCACTGATGAGGATTTGGTAGATTCAGCAGGATTTGAAGATTCATCATCACTTATCTCAATAACATCTAAGTCTTGGACAGGAGGGACTTTCCCCAAGATTGGAGTACTTGCAGAAGGTTTGGGATCCTTTAAAGAATCCTCGGCAGTCTTGGCCTTAGGCTTGTCCCCACCAACTGAATCTTCCATATTTGGCACATCATCAACCACCATGTCATCTTCAGTCATTGGAACCATGAGGCCAGTGGCAGGATCCAACACCAACACACTATCATTCAACTTGTCCTTCTGTTCAGCTTCATTTTCATCTTTCCCTTTGTCTGCTGGCACTTTATCATCACTAGATGTCACCTTATCATCACCTGGCATCACTTTATCACTATCAGGCATCACTACACCACTTTCAGACTTAGCACTGTCTGCCTTGATGTCCTGTAAATCATTCTTCTGTCCTTTTTCTTCAGGAACTGATTCCAATTCCTTACCAACACCTTTCTGTTCTCTTGGTGTAAATCCTGTACTCACATGCCTCTGCATCATCATCGCATCTCCATCTTTTGACACCTCCATTGCTTCAGGTTTGCTTCCTCCTTCTTTTTCAGCAGTTCCAGATTTATCCTCTGACTTCTGTACCTCCTTAGCAGCTACAGCTGCAGGTTTGGAGTGTGAGCTGTCGCTACCTTGAACGTCCTTGGCCACGTCACATGATATGTCTGACCCGTCCACGGAGCTCTTCTGCTTGGAGTAGGTGTGGTCTTGGGGGTCATGTGTGATATACTGGGCGGGCCTTCAGCTGTTTGTAGGCTGGGGAGTGAGGTTAGAGGAGGAGCTCTCATCCATGGAGGCTGAGTGGGACTCTCGCCTGCATTAAACAAATACATCATTACTAGGTATGCCCAAATTTCAATTAGAATTACAGCTCTTTTATATAATACGGTAACCAGTAAACTATCTTAACCGTACCTGGATGTTGATAGAACAAGCAAAGATTGAAATAAACGAGGCAACATCATATACAGTGAAACCTGTCTAAACTGGTACCCCACGTGACTGGAAATAAAATGCCGGTTTAGACGGGGTGCCAGACGATAATTTTCCAAACACATTTACACACGTCAATCTCTCAATCTAGCGTGCCGAGAGGAGTGTATTGGATAAGGGATCCTGATTGGACTGCTCATACCCATGCCGGCTTAGAGCAGCTGATTCATCACACAATCACTACTTCCGGATTATCTAGCGGGCCAAGAGGATTAATTAGTGTATTGGAATCTAGGTCCTTGATCGGACTGCGCATACCCATGCTGGTTAAGACAATGTTAATTACAGTTAAAATTGCTTGGGACCGAAAAGTCGTGCCGGAATACGGAATAAAGAGGTGCCTGATTAGACAATTTTATGCCGGTTTTGACAGTGTGCCGGATTAGACAGGTATCGGTGTTGGCAGGTTTTACTGTGCAATAAACCAGGCCACAAATTGCAACCACTCAATCACTATCAAGCTCAACCTTGTATTTTAGACCATGATTGCCATATCACGGCACACAAAAGAATGCATCTCTGCAGATTTCATTAAAACACTTGGTGGCCTGTACCTGTCTCGGAATGAGGGACCATCTGATCACATGAAAATACATCTATCATGGAGGCAATGCAAATCAGGGAACACTGAGTGAGAGAGGGAGTTTGGCTGAATGCTTCTCTGAACAGAATTTCAGTGTTATATATAGCAGTATGCCACCTTGACATGTGAGGCAAGACTTAGCTGTTTCACTTTTGCAACAAGCAAATAGGGGTATGGAGCTGTCACGCCTGGAAATACGAACAGGAGAGATCTGGGATTGGAACCAGAACTAACACTGCAATCAACTCAAACTCCAGTATGTGAGGAATCCAGGTTGTGTACATCAAACAGCCCAAGTACAAAACTCACCTTTCATGTCTCTTCTCCTTTCCCTTTGCGAAGGGACTCTCTGCAGCCTCGGTGAGGTAGTGCTGGAACAGCTCGTAGTCCACCATCCCGTCCTTCTTCAACAGCTGCTTCAGGATGGCCACATGCAGGCGGTAGAACACCTGAAACATCGCCATAACGTCACATATGCGCCACAGGTAGAACACCAGCAACATAATCTTAACATGACATGTGATCAATTGGTACAACACCTGTAAACGATGTGTATGTTCTATGGGTAGGACAAAAGCAACATCATCCAAACATCATCTACACTTTATAGATAAAACATCAACTTCACATCACTCAAGCAAATTAATTTCATCAATGTTTTGTTGGTTAAACACCCAAAACCACACCCATGTTTCATAGTTAGAACACATAACAACACCATCTTAACATCAACTGTTTTCAGCTTCTATGACACCTCAGGACATCTTTTAAAACATCATCTACACTACGAGATGTACAAGTGAAATGTGAAGCTGGACTTCTATTCCAACTATTGACATGTAGCTGTGAGTGCTGAAACAATCACACCAATGAAGCAGGTCCCACACTTTAACCCCTCTGCCTCCCTCAGACAGGCCAGGACTACAAAGGAGCTGAGATGCTGTTACCTCAAGTGCTTCCAGAGCCAGTTTGGGTGGGCTGTTGGCGTATGTAATCTCTTGGGGTAGACGGCTTCATCTTCATGGAGGTAGATCGCTGCCTGGAATGAAATGAAGTTAGTGAATATTTTGCTGAACATCATGCTGCATGTGTGGAATATTTACCAAAATTTGCATTATATGTCAGACAATTAAGTGGTTCTGTAAGGTTCCAAGCATAGCTCACCTGTCCAGGAATATCTCACCTGCTTTCAGTGATCAAGCATACCTCTCCCTGTCCACAGTGCTCATACATATTCCGATCATTGCTCCATCACTGTATCATGCCGACTTCGTCAACAGGAAAGGGTGGTACTCCATAATAATGCAGGCAGTTTGTGATGATAGATACAGGTTTACCGATGTCTACATTGGCTGGCCTGGCCGTGTTCATGACGCTTGGGTGTTGGCCAACTCTGCGTTGAAGAGATGAGGTGATGATGGCAGTCTCCCGCCAAGTTCACAAGAGCTTCTCATCAAACCCATAATCAAGCGGAGATGGCACTTGTTTTTGATTGGCGATCCTGCATACCCAATATCTTCCTTGCTCCTCAAACCTTACTCCAACAGAGGCCAGCTTACAGCAGAACAGTCCTACTTCAGCTATCATCTCAGCAGTGCACGGATGACGATAGAGAATAGCTTTGAGACGTTTCCTGAAAAGACTGGATGTTGACATTGGCTTTGTGTCCACTCTTGTGGCTGCATCTGGAACCGTACACAATGTGTGTGAGACTTGGGGTTTGCCCTACCTGGCGGAGTGGGACATAACAGAGAAGGACACTGCCCAACCAGGATCTGGATACAACGAAGCTAGACTCAATGCAAATGGAAAGAACATAAGGCATGCCCTATCGAGGCACTTATGGGAGCAGCGTTAGATAATGAACAGAAAACTTCAATGAACATTTCACTTCGCTTTAATCAGTTAAAGCCAAATAACATTCCAGAACACGTTTCTACATTGTTAACGCACGAATAATGTGAAATGCAATTTGATGTAAAACGTGAAACATCACGTGCTTAAAATAAAACATTGCTTGACATTTATGATGAACTAGAAAACGGAATCTGGCAGCAAAGAGGAAACAATACTTAATGACAACCAATATTCTACCTTTTCTGGCATAATGTAAGTCTACTTTGATGCATAGGTATGTCCTGACCAACAACCCACCGCTGTATAGTGTTAAAAATACGTTTATATGCATCAAATACCCCTGGGGGCAAATATACCCCCGTAGGCAAATAATTTGCCCTACCTCTGGAGCAAGGGCAAATATACCCTCTGGGGTAAATTTACCCCCGGGGTATATGCGTTTACACGACATAAAATACCCTCATGGGGGCAAATGTACCCCCGGGACAAATATACCCCGGGGTATTTGGGTGCATGTAAACACGGGTTTAAATGTGAAACTGGGGGCGTTCCGTTTGCTGCTCGGGACCAGTCACTTCCCACTCGTAATCGCCTAAAAAGTGATTCTAAAACAAAATATTAATATGAAATGTCGACTTTGCAATAAATTCACAGAGACTGTCCAGCACCTTGTTAGTGGATGCCCTTCCTTGGCACAAACAGCATATCTTAAACGACATGATGGCATGGCTTGTTGCTTTTACTACCGTCTCCGCCATGCCTGTGGCTTTGACTCTAAGGTCCATCCATCTTACGACCCTGAACATGTCCAGGGCGTCATGGAAAGTGATGCTTTCAAACTTCTGTGGAACAGGCCCATATACAGCCTCAGAAGAATTCCAGCCAGCAAACCTGATCTTGTCCTCTTTGATAAAGCCTATAAATTTATGTATTTCATAAAATTTTCTGTCCCTTTGACAGCAATGTGATTAAGGAAAAGCCTTTGAAATGTCTCGCGTGCATCCCAAGTACATTGTCGTCAGGCTCCCCATTGTTCTCGGTGCCCTTGGTTTGGTACCTCCTGATCTCTTGGCGCAGATCAGGAGAGTGCCCGGGTTCTCCTCCGGGAGCACAGTCCTTCTGACACCCTGGGTAATGCAGTAGGCTGCAGTGTTGGGGAGTCTACATATTCTCCGGAAAGTTCTTGGTGGTTTGACTAGGCAACGCTTCCTGGGAGAAGACCTTCGCTGTCTGGGCTGCGTGTCGAGGGGCAAGGGCCCTGAACTGGTGATGAGCCTTACCAGCCGGACTGTGCCAGGATCACCCGAACCCTCTCTGCTGCATACTATCTTTAATCTGTAAAACATAATAATAATGTTGGTATTTATATAGCTCCAGGTACTAATACCTCCTCATGGCGCTAGAATACTACAGGAGAAAATAGCCAGGTATTTGTATACCAAACTGCATTAAGTTTAGCTGGAAAGTGTGATTTTGTTATCGGCGACAGTAGCAAACATTTCAAATTGACCAATTACCGTAGCTGTCACAAATATACTTTGTGGGTTATCGGATTGTTTAAGCATGTTGTATGTTGGCCATGGTGGTACCATTATCCAACAATACTGATAAAATAGCATTTGCTAATGAGAATGAGTGATATGTGGGAGTGTATATACCAGAAACATAAGTGAACATGGGTTAGGTAGCCCTTCCTATGTCTTAAATTGGTCCTGGCAGTGTGGGAGATGGAAGCCCACATTAGCACACTGACACCATCAAACATATCAACTTCCTGGGTGCAGTTTGCGTCTATGACGTCTGTATACCTCGCCATCTTCTACCAGGACGACACAGCACAACTCTAGACGCGTCGTTGAATCAGACACAAATGCTACCACCATTGGTGCCGCTGTTGACGATGTCGAGGTGCAAGATGGCACCGTCTGTTCCGACATTCTCTGCATGCCCTGTATAATCGAAGCGGTTAATATTGCCGTGGTCATTCTTTCAGGTAGATGGCGTGCCTGTATGTAGCGGTCTTGGCCGGCGGTTGTAACAAGTGGTTCTACCGCATCTGACTGGTCACCCGAGGTGTTGATATCGGACCTATAGTCTGTAAATGGCGCTTTGGCCACATTAAACATCATGACAACATCTGCTCTGGGATCGAATGCCTCCAAGAGTTGTTCCTTTGTACTTCCTTGAGTCGAAGTATCTCTTCTCGTCGTTACGTTCGCAAAATACATTGAACAGGAAAACAAAAGCCTGCCTCTCTATGCGGTTGACGTAGGTATATGTACGTGTAATACATGTAATAATAGAATGCGTATTATTTCCAGTTAAACGAAATTTGTCCATACACTACCAGTGACCACAAATCAGGAACAGTCACTTCAAGGCTGCTTCAAAGATTTCACGGTTGTTGATTTGACATGCATAAGGAGATGTATTGATTCTTTCTGAAACCAATTTCGTTCAACTGTGACAAATCAAGAACAGTCATTTCAAAGGTTGTTTCCAATTTTAAGGCTGCTTCAATGAGTTTACAGTTGTAGATTTGAGGTGAGGTGAGGTGAAATTGGGTTTAACGTCGTGCTTGAGAATACTTCGCTCATATGACGACGTGCATGCATGTTTATGTGTATGTGCAGCTGCTTGTACTAGCCCAGACTGAAGCTGGTTTTATAGTGCTAGCCCACTGAGATACCATGCCGCAGTGAAGCATGAATACCCCACTCAGACACATTATACTGACTCCGAGCCGACCAGTCCTTGTTGTACCCATTAATGCCGAGCGCCAAGCAGGGACCAACAAGTACCATATATTAACGTATTTTGGTATGACGCGGTCGGGGATCGAACCCGCGACCTTCCGCTCTCCGGGTGGACGCTGTAACCACTACACCACGGAGGCGGTCAGTTGTATATTTGACGTGAAAGAGGAGACATGTTGGCTCTCTCTGGAAATTTTTTAAAAGTCAAGGACAGTCATTTTAAGGCTGCTTCAACGAGTTCACAGTTGTGGATTTGACGTGGATGAGGATATGTGTTCATTCTCACTTAAACCATTTTTGTTTAGCTGTAACGAACCGTGCAGTGAGAGTGCAGACCTTTTCTTTGATAGCTAACATACTTCCAATATCCCATTACTAGGTCTGTCCATCGATATCACGTGGTGGTCATGTACACGTGGGGAGTAGGTGTAGCCTAATGGTTAAAGCAATGTAACGACCCAGATTCGATTCCCCACATGGGCACAATGTGTGAAGCCCATTTCTGGTGTCCCCGCCGTGATATTGCTGGAATATTGCTGAACGGAGCGTAAAACCAGACTCACTAACTCAAATTGGATAAAGAGATACAGTTATTGCATTGTTTCAAGGAATAATTTACCTATAGAAAAAGGTTGGGCGGAAAAATAAGAAAAGGCTGCCTACCTGCACCTTTTTTCATCGATACCAAGTGTAGAGCATGTGCAAGTCTGTATTATGGTTTCGCGGTACAGCAGTGATCATTCAATTTTCGAATCCGCATAAAGTTGTAAATGTCATCTGAGTTTTACTGAGAAAACGTTTTACTGTTTTATTTGGCAAAATCAGTATTGAACTTGATATCTAAATTATTTCACAAAACGGCTTAACAGTCAATTGCCTTCCACTGAATCACCCACCTGAGATAAAAAGTAAAAAGCACGATTGAATCGGTCTTATCTGTTATCTAGAAGAATGCATAAAGTTAAAGAGTGACAGAAGCTATCAACTAAATGTGACAACTTTCCAACACCATCAACTTGACACACATGGTGAATGATAGCAATGGAACCCTTTCAAGAAAAGAGCAGGGTCAAGTGTACAACTGTCTTAACAATGTGCAAATGAACCACTATCAAATAGTAATTATGACAGATGTTATTCGGCGACATCAAATGTGAGTATCCTACCCACCGATGGTACCCGTCATAAACACATGCAAAGGCTAGTCAATGATATGATGCTCGACATTGTAAACTTTAAATCACACCCTAGTAATATGACCTTTGAAGAGTGTTTTACCACTCAGATTTGTATGCACAGATGTAAACGTGACACACACACAGGGTGGCTCACTGGCCTCCTATAATTGGTAAATCATTGGAATGGAACTGACTACTGATGGTTATTAAACGATAGTTAATTGATATACCTGAAGCTAAAGTCAAACTTCTTGGTCAGATTACCTTGTTCTGATCTTTGCCAACACGAGTCATATGCATAAAGAAATGAGCACGCAAGGAAGTGTGCACAATAAGTGTACATGGAGATGCTTGTGTTTTCGCAAAATATTTCTTCGCCAATGGGGAAGTCCAGCATTTCACATATTCTTTTCCTTTTCAGATAAAAGTTGCTTTCATTTTTGACTAATAATTAATGTCCTGAACCTTTTAATCAGCAGTGGTATGAATTACTGGCAAATATACTGAAATAACCATGGGATGTAGCACTGGTGACGATTCGACCATTTGCTAGGGTACAAATATATTAGTTTTAACAGGACATCATTCTAATTAATACTGTCAAACTGATTTATTGACAATTATCAAGTTTCAAACGGAGTTTTGAGCAGAACTCTAGATGCCCCTTATATATTGACTGTTGAAAACAAAGGCATATCAAAATCACAACGTAATTTAGACGGTTTAAAAGGTGTAATATATAGTTTATTATTAAGACGAGTACGACTTTCCTCTTCGTGAAACAGCTTAAAATTCGGTGCGTTACTGTTGCAAATAGCAATGCCCTTAACAGGTATGTATCTTTCTTGCAAAAAGTGATGCGATAAGCGAAGCAGCATTTGACAAGCCGTTATCTCCTTTCACATGACCGGTGCCGTGATTATGTACACAACACAAAAAGCAAAAGGTGTTGTTTGTCTGCTGCAAAATATGGCACCCGCAAATAGGCATAAATATACTGTATCAGAAAGATCGATCATAGATACTGCCTCACAAGAGTTTGCGGATGATGACGAGGAAGAATGCATGTTGCAGTGTAATGTAATGCTTGTAACATCTTCTTCAAACGCAAAATATTGTACGTTCGCTTCATGTAACATCTTCAGGATTATTTCCCTTGTCCAAGGTGAATCTGTATGCGCCATCAAGAGATGACAGCATAAAACATATTATCGAATCTGGACTAGACAAATCAGTGAGTGATATTATAAGCAACATCCCACGCAGTCGCCTAGGACGACAAGAAAGTATCCAACTGACCCAGTGGGCTGGTTCAAAAGTTTATTAGAGGCTGTGGGACAGCCGTTACTGAAAATCCATGTATGATCATGTCATTAAGAGTTTTAGATGTACCGAATGACGTATTAGGTTTGGATGCTGATAGTTTATAGCTCGTGTTGTGGCGCTGCTAAATTGATGTCAAATGCCTGTTACGTGTTCACTATCCTGTGTGGCTGAAGTAAAGGCGATCCAACACTTCAGTGTTTAGTCAAGATGGGGGTTTTCCTGGCACATTTGTGGAAAGACACGTTTCAAATAAACACGATTACACATTAAAATGCATGCTTCCTTATTTTATTATAAATGATCACCATGCATGTACTATTCATCATGATAACACACTTCTGGCTGGTAGGTGACACTCACTGTCACTGTAGATAAGAAGTAGATAACATTTACTCTGTGTCAGTGGTCACTGGGGACAGGTCCACGTCATCAGTAACATGTCATCAATGGCCTAAAGGTAGACAGGGGAGAATTTTGTCTTCTTGCCTGCAGTGAGGTAATTACATTGTCATGAAACAGACGAGGACCAGAATCACTGATGGGCAGGCCAGAGATATGTGTTAAGATAATTATGTTGAAGAACATTTCAAATTGGTTATTGGGATAATTCGTTAATGTCATCAGAAAACCCACCAAGTATTTCCTGTCTACTAAGACTACCAAATAACACACTGATTGATAGTGATGTAACCACTTTCAATCTCTTAACGACAATTAATCAACCAATTATTAACGCAACATGTGCCTAATGTTCACTCCAGACAAAATAAACACGTCTAGCATAAAGTAAGGTCTTGTGGTCTTCAGTTGAGGCTCAGCTTTGTGAGGACAGCAATAACAGCAAGCTTCCATATGTGTACCGATAGCTTAGCAGCACCAGATGCTGAAATAGAGTACATTCATGTCAGTGTTTTGCTTGTACCATCTGTAGATTGTCATTGATACAGGCAACAATAATTTTGTCAGTACTTTATGAAATATAACATGTTTTCATGTAAGTATTTCTAAAGGCGTGCTGAAACACAGTTCTCCTCTTTCATTACCCATTTCCTGCTAAAACCTGTACTCAAAGTAATCATATTCCAAATCATCGCCCACCCAATACCATTCAGTCATGAAATCAGATTCAGAAGGAAACAAAACATTTTTCACTCTGTATTCATTTCATGTGACGTTTTCTTAAGGATCGTTGAAAATATTCCTTTATCACTTGAAGATCGTCGGAATGCTCAGAATTGTAGACCGAATAATAACACCAGATTGCCTTGCATCAGAGCAACCATGAAACATAATTTTCCCACAAATTATCTTTGCCTAAGATGATCACAATCTATATGATGATACCTTTATTGCATGTGTCGCCCCCATAACCTGGGGCGCAGTCACAAACATACTGGTCACTGCTTTTGTCACAGGTTCCACCATTGAGGCAATCTGTATCAGCATCGCATAGTGGCTCTGTAACAAGGAATGCATAACTTACAATGAGAATATGATATAAAACTTGCAGCTGCATGGACCGTCCCTGTAATCTTGGTTAATTTGGTTCGTAACGCTGTCTTTATTTAGAACATGGAAGAAAAACGATTAAGGTATTTGAAATAAGATAATATATTAAAAGCAGTTGGGAACATATATACATATGTTTCGACTATTTCAGCTCTTCTCACACATTTTAGTTTCCAAGATAGATATCTGCATCTGGAACGCTGTTGGACATATATAGTGGTTATTCAAATCTAGTCCTCATAAATCTATAGAGTAGCATTATGTGCAGCTGTAAAGATGAATGCCTGGAAGGAATTGCAGTGTATATAATAACATCAGATTGCCTGATATAAAACATATGGTGATCTATATTATCATACCCTGATTGCATGTGTCGCCCCCATAACCTGGGGCGCAGTCACAAACATACTGGCCACTGCTTTTGTCACAGGTTCCACCACTGAGACAACCTGCATCATCCGTGCATAGTGGCGCTGTAACAAGGAATCATGCATATTAGTTTTAAATTGAGCATTTGATTGAGATTGCACCTACATGCTTTTACCAGTAAAACCAGTGAACCAGACAAACAAGTAGTTAAACCGACTACAACCGAATCTATGACCTAGGATTAGTTGTTGCTATATTTCTACTGCCAATGTCTACCCCTGTAAAGAAATAACTTTTTGTCCGTGACTAAGTCACATACAAATAATTCAAAGAAACGTCTCTCGGGAAAGAACTACATTAAGTCTTTGGCCACATACGTTAAAAGTGTTGTCACTACCTCATGGGTAGAAATATATACCAGGCGACGTTTATATATACTTCCCATCAAAAGTTTAGACTCACTAGTGTAAATATAGCCACTTACTTCAGGCAACCGTTCTAAACTAAATTTTGCAAAAATATTCTAAAACAAAGGTACTGTTTACACATGAACTGGTCTATTGTAAAACAAATTCATAACGTTGAAAAGATTATTGTCATGAGTTCAATAAATGAAAAATTGGCGAATTCTTAACAAAACGTTACACCAAAACGTAGCTGATCACATGCACGATATTTTCCACATGCTTTTCAGCAAGTTAATGCATGATCGTTGTGCAATGCATCTGCATAAGTTTGCAGTGGAGAAATCAATCTTCGATGTAACCATATATATATATACATAACATAAAGTGAGTGTTTTAAGTGCGTCTAAACCTTTGATGGGAAGTATATATCAAGAGTCGGGGTATGTTATTCACGGTAATATGACTGTTAACTGTCATAACGATAATATTGTTTTTATAATTTCATTAATATCTTCGCTCCAAAGGGAACCGTAATCATTTTCTTTAAAGCAGTAGTTAGTTTCTCTGTTTGTTGTACCAGCAAAGTTTCAGCTGTATACCGAACGTCTGTAAATACGGAAGCCTTGATCAGACAGTCCATTGATTGACATCTTCAGCTTGGGCGCAAAGTCCGGCGGGTTTAGTCTCTATTCGCCTACATCTCAGTTTGCCTACATCCCATTTCGCATGCAAAAATAATGTTGGCTAATTGGGATTAGAAAATGCACCCCTACTCTGATAATGAACCTGACTCACTGGTCAGTGCCATACTAATCAGGTAAATCTTCCAAATTATCCTTACTCATCTTTAACTTACTTTTAACGACACACATTTTGGAAAAAGTAAGCATAAATGGATAATGAACATTAAAAATATTTTTGACGAAATTGGACTTGGTTATATCTGGAATTCCCAAAATTTTGAACATTTGAATAAACTAAACATTACAGTTAAATGTAAACTAGAAGATGCGTATAAGCAAGTGTGGTTGTCTACGGTAGAACATTCATCAAAAGGTATCTTATATAGCTCGTTATCTAACGTTGATTTAAGTTTGAGTAAATATTTGGATATTTTAAATGATAATTGTTCAAAGGCATTGTTACGTTATGAAACAGCAAATCGTAACTACCCCATTGAAACAGGCCACTTGGAGCAATATTCAAAACGTGATAGAATGTGTAAACTTTGTAATGGTTACGACATTGGCGATGAATTTCATTATTTATTTATTTGTTCTCACCTTATAAATGCAAGAGTTAAATATTTAAAGCCATATTTTTATTCCAAACCAAATTTTCATAAAATGTATACATTATTCAATAACAATAAGACAGGTATTCTTAGAAAACTCTCTTTTGTCTGTAATATTATTATAAATGTTTTTAAGAATCGTCGGTAAGAATACTCCATCTAAATATTTCTATTATCTTTATTCAATCTATTTGCGGATAGAGTTGCAATCTATCTATATATATACTGCATTACTTATTCATCTGCATATATGAAATACTCGACTGCACACACATTGTATATAACTATATGGATATATTTCATAGTAACACATATGTAACCTCATATGCCGCTGTCTGCGGCCTGAGTTGAAATAAAGTTCAGTTCAGTTCAGTTAAAATAAGATGAAAGGGATTAATGCACAGGCTAAATTGTAAAAGCAATTATGAGATGTAGTTAATTTCTCACTGTAAAATACTCAGTTGTTATAAGGATATGCAGTTGAGTAAAGAGGATTGGTGCATCCACCAAGAAGTTCAAACAATTTTATAAATAAAATACTCTTTACTAATAGGCTTTAAAACCAACTTAACCATATAAAACGGAGTGTTCGCCAAGCACTGACAGTTATGATGGCTAACCTGCAGAAGGCAGAGTTCAACTTGTCTCAGAGAGGGTGAAGACAGGTACTACATGATGGCCACAAGTATCGACTGAATGTTATGAGACAAGTAGTCATGCACACACAGGAAGTGCGTCATAGATACATGTCAAGGTTAATGCAGTACCACTGGCGACCACATATCTTCCGTCACAGAGCACAACCACCCTCCTCTGGTGAATGAAGAAGAGACCAGACTCCTCACCAGATTGAGACAACGTGTTCGTGATGAAGTGAGAATGGACATCCGCACAAGTAAACTTCCTTAACATCAATGTGATATGATGTTATATGATGTGACATGATGTGAATATCATCGTAATCGGAAATGACAAATAGCTGAGTAAATAAATAACAGAAATATATTCTTTTAGAAAATGTCTTTTTCCTTCAACTACTTCAACTAGAAGAGTCCACTTTTCGATCATAGGGGTGCCACTAGTTTACCATTGCGTAATCAACAGTCAACAGACCGTGAAATGTTGTTTTAAAACTGTAGGCGAATTGGGATGTAGGCGAAATGAGAACATGCCGTCCGGCGAACATGCCCAGATCAGTTAAGTGACACATAATTTAGGTATATTTGCTATTAGCTCATTATATCTCCTTTGAAACAAACATGTAATGGCAGATATGTTTACCGAGGTTGCATTTATCTCCGCCGTAGCCTGCATCACAAGTACAGACATCTTTAGTACGGTCCGAAGAATCAGGTGTACATTTTCCTTTGCCATTACATGGATCAGGTAGGCATGGATCATCTGAAATATATTGCTGACCGTTACATGTTAAACCTTATTTGACATCATCATGAATATATTGATATATTCATATCTGATATAAATAGAAAAAACCTGGGTGTTGGGGTAAAGTAGTGTAATGGTTATAGCGTCTACCGTCCCGTTGAAGACCAGCGTTCTATTATACCACATGGGTACCATATGTGAAGCCCATATCTGGTGTCCCCCGCCGTGGTATTGCTTTAACTTTGCTCGAATAGTTAAAAAAACCCATAAAATATACAAAGTAGTATGTGTTTTCAGATTTCCTTTTTATTGTCTATTTGATGCATGGTAAATTTACTATCGAAACTTCGATTTGACGTCCCACTAGATTTGATTTAGTTATTTGTGCACATATATAATTGTACTTTGATAGTTTTCTATATCCACCTATTGTTTGTTGCGCTATTCAGTGTTTAATGCTCTGTGTGCTCTGTGTGCTCTATGTGCTTGATCATTTTACGTCCATTTTCAAAATATTTGTGTGCACTTGAAAGGGGAAAAATACATTTCTATTATCATAAAACAGTACTACTAGAAAATACATGATTCTGATTATGACTTGAGCATTTGTATGTGAATCTCTATCAAACAATGACGAGACCAGGGGGGTGGCGGTAAGGTCTGACACGTTTCACACAAAAAGTACACAAACAAGAACAAGTGATTCAGCATTACTTTTTTTCCTTGACATTTTAATCACGCATTGTGGTGGTAGTTTTAATTCCAAGCGATGACCTAAAACAAACTTTCCAGATTTCATTTTCTTTCTGATAAATGTCATGAAAGTTAATAAAAATAGATATGAGTTACCATATTCACACAAGTCACCAATGAAACCAGTGTCGCAGGTGCACGTTTTAGCCAGTTCACAGGTTCCGTGTCCACTGCATGTAGAGTCTCCACTGCAATCAGCCATACTGAGTGTCCCGCACATGGTTGCGACAACACCTGGAAGAGAATAATATGTTTGGTCATTTTAAGAACGGACGTTATGTAGTTGCATTCTATTTTGGGGGTTACTTATTGCAATTATCAGTCGAGTCTGAAACTGTCAAAAAGTATTTCTACAAGATGACTTTGGTAAACATGAAAAACACTGAACCTTCTCTTCCCAGGAACACTCATAGAGTAATTGCACGTTTGCTTCATTTTTATGCTTGAATCATAGCCCTAAACTGAGATTAAAGACCACAAGTTACAAAATACAAAATACTGGAAAGACAATACATTTATTAAGTTTTATGTGAATAGTTTAGTAAATAACAAGGATTTATTTCATATTTACTCCAGCTTGTATTCATCACGTGTAACATTAGTCAATGCATCGAGCGCAAGCTAAGATTATTTTCTGAAAGTCAAATAACATATTTACGACGTATATGACAAGCGTCACTTACCCAGAAACAAAACCGTTTGTGTAAGACCTTTCATGTTTGTCAGCGCCGTTCTATCCTCTCTAAGACCGCTACACGTCTAGATTCGGTTGCGCTTGTCTTTTATATAGGGCGGATGTCATAGCGACCGATGTTGATTTTTGTGTTCGCCACAGGTGCGCAAGGTGCTACGAGACGTTTGAGTGATATGTTTTTTCTATAAGTCAAATACCCATATGTCTGCCTACTCATGACATCATCATACTGGCAGACACTGTTGTGTGGGTGACTGTGCATGTTTACTACTCAGACGTGAAGGTTTCACCATATTTCAACGTTGTTGATGGCCGAAGCTCTATACTAAAAATTTCAATTATAGTAGGGGCGTTGGGGAAGCCTAATGGTTAAAGCGTTGGCTCGTCACGCCGAAGACCTGGGTTCGAATCCCCACATGGGCACAATGTGTGAAGCCCATTTCTGGTGTCCCCGCCGTGATGTTGCTGGAATATTGCTAAAAGCGGCGTAAAACCAAACTCAGTCAGTCAGTCAGTCAATTATAGTACTTTAACTCACGAGCAAAGAATATACCAATACCTAAAATAGCATAGGGTAAAAGGATAGTTGGTCAGCAAAGCATCGTAGCTGAATGAACAATATCAATATTTTCACATGGGAGGCTTTTGTCACTAATCCTACCAAGTATACTGATCTCTGCTATATAAACTATGAAATGAAGAAAACAAATAACTTGAGAACACTTTTGTCATAAAAAACCATAGCTTTTCTCAAGGTGTTCAGCTATGCATCACGTCTTTTGATATATACTACCCATCAAAAAGTTTAGACTCACTAGTGTAAATGTAGCCACTTACTTCAGTCAACCGTTATTTAGATTTTGCAAAATATTCCATTCTGATTAAAGGTGTTGTTTACACACGAACTGATGCATTGTAATACAAATTCGTAATGTTGAAAAGATTACTGTCATGAGTTCAATAAATGATCAAATTCAACGACAATTGACGAATTCTTAACTAAACGTTTACACCAAAACGTAGTAGTTCACATGTTCGATATTTGCACATGCTTTCAGCAATTTGATGCATGATCCTAGTGCATTCATCTACATAAGGTTTGCAGTTGGTTCCCTCACGATTGTGGAGAAATTCATCTTCGATGTAACCATATGTATACACATAACATATAGTTAGTGTTTTAAGTGAGTCTAAACTTTTGATAGGTAGTATACATGTGACTACAGAAACTACAAACAATATGTACAACTGAGAAGAATCTTACAATGCATTTTCTTTAATGAGTGACAATTGAATATTAAAGTTCACTACGAGTCTTCTCAAAATCCGTATATATTTTCAATAGAGAACATTTTAGATGACATTTATATGTTAACAGTGTAGTAACAAGTGTAATGATTTTGGACAGTAATTCTACAAACATTGAATTTGTATTAAAGCATGACCATTCATATTGTTCAGTGGTAGTTTTATGGCCATGATTGTAATAAGGCTTATCTGAATTACTTAATTATTTCATTATTATACTTAGTCTTCAAACTGTGATCTCAAGTGGGACGTATGGTCAGACAACTGATTAAGCTTGGCTTATACGTTTTCCTTCAGTGTGACTACTTCATTCCAGATGTATCTGAGTTCAGAGTTTACTGCATTGTGTCTGTACACTTGCACAGATTGCATTAAGTTTTCATTATGTTTTCTTAATTTCAAACTTATTCTTTCAAAACTCTAAAATTCGTGAAAGGAACCAAAATTTAAACCACATGAAATTAGTAACGAATGTTTGATAATGTGGATATTTACGCTTCCTATCATGCCTTGTTTAATTGGAATATCCATCTATTATGTATTTTGAAGTTTAGACTGGTACTTTTCATGGAACATTTAATCAATATTCGTTGTTAATATAACCATAAGGTCCATATGTACGACCTGTAATTTTGCAGTGAAATTACGTTTGACAACTTATATCAGTGTTTGGACTTGACCTTGCCCTATCCACTTGTCTGAGAGGCATGAAACAATTGACCCATACATCTTATCCATACTTCTAATGTCCATCTTCATCAACAATTATGAAACAGCATATTATTAATGATACTTCTGAAATGGTTTTGGGGTTCCGGTTGACGTGATTAACTGAGACATGGCGACGTATGTGCTTACGAAATCTAGCCACGGCTATTAAACAAGTATTTACAGTCTTGAGGAAACGTTCTTCCTTCTTCAAGAGCTAATCTAAAATTACTGATGGTTATTCCGTTATCATCATGTACATGTCTACCTTTGTGGTTGCTAAGGAAGATTGGAACACAAACCAACAATTGACAGTTAGGTAGGAGACTCTATTGTACATGCGTATATTGGAATCTAAAGTTAAAAATAGGATATATCAGACATTACTTGTTTCCGTGAATCCGAGGTCTTTGTTGTCCTACACCAATGTACATATGGCACACAAAAAAGTACCAGTTTATACATTATGTGAGTATCTATATGCTTATATGAGTTCTTTACAAACTGAACTGGCAGTCAAAGCATATGCATTTGGATACCTAATGATACTATATACTGATCATCCTTCAGTTATGGATAGAATCTGTTATTGTATACAGTACATGGCTTTTTTGTAAACAAATACATACATATTATTGAGTGCCGTCAAGAAAAGAAACAAATCATGAAGACATATACCTGGACCCTGAAACATCAAATGGTTCGAGGTATTGATCTCTCAACAGCCCAATATCTGTTGTGTGTAAAGCCAAAATGAAAGTCCTGTCAACAAAGAGTTCTGTAAAGGCAGAATTGACATTTTAAATAACATTGAAGTCCTTTAACATTGAATTACACACATTTTGGTTTTCTTTGAGAGGGAAATGCATAGGGTCTGGACTGAAACCCTATGCAATGAACGTCTGTCTATTCTGAACACCAATTGTTTGTTGGCCTTTTCACACTCATGGGAGTTCGTGTCATCAGCATTGCCGTGGCAAGAAACCCCCACTAAGACGTATCTTAAGACCTATTCTCCACAGGCGGTCCCCGTTGTTAAATATGTCATGAACGTGGTGCCTAGCCTTGATTTATGGTCGGTGTCCACAGACACATGTCAATATGAACACTTAGTACTGAACAAGTGGTGAAAGACAGGTGGTATATAGTTGTGACAGTTGGTGAAGTACCTAGTACCTTAAGCTCTTACAGAGGTACATGTTACAGAAGCCATATTGAGGAATGTAAGAGGTTAGTGAAGATGCAAGTATTTAAAACAAAATACAAGACACAATTGTTGGTGACCACCAATCATGTCACAGCTATATCAATTCAAAAGGCAAGCATATCCTTTTATGGACATTTTCCAAATCCAGATTCAATTTGTCTGTCATACAGGGCTGTTCATAGCATATGTCTTTAACTTGGAATGATGTGTATAAATTATCTCAATACCGCTTACAAATTATTACATCAATACAGAGTGGTGTTCAACTATAATTATGAGTAAAAGGAACATACATGAAACTCACGACAGCTCCATACACGTATCAACACTTAGAATGATGTTTCGAAATGATAGCTCTATGGTGCATATATAGTGTCATATTTTACATATGCTGCAATTAATATAACAATACAGTGTTGTTGTAAACTGTATTGATGAGTAAAAGGAGCATAACAGCCTCACGTTAATTTACATGTTCGAAAACTATGCTTACACTTCGACATGGAGAACGTGACACAAAGCATTAGTGGGTGCAGACTCAACTTATAAAATCAAGTATCACGCCAACGAGGCATTAAGGTGCACTTCAGATAAATCAAATAAACGATTGTCAAAGACCTCAGTGCATCGGTTCAAAATTTATTGCAGTGAAACGGAGATTACAGGCCTTAGTTTTATAAAGTCATGGGATTATCCGTGCACGATGTAATTCAGAAACGATAATAAAACATTCTTAGTACGACACAACTAATCTCCAGGTACTTAGCAAAATCGAAGTTATCTGTCCAGTGTTAAATCTTGTGAGTTATGGCTTAACTGTGAGAGAGTAGTGGCGTGAAGGAATAGTGTATTGATAACAATCAGTCAAAATCACATAAGAAAATTATTTACAATACCTACAGGTAATTACTGGTTATGGTAAAAATGAACACACAAATCTAAATGTAAACAAAGACCACATCAGCAAGACTGTATTACTCAAATAACAGAACTGGAGGGGATATAGGAAATGTCTCCAGTACTATAATAATATTCGGATTCTTTAGCGGCAATACGGTAGGCTAAAGGTGGCACATTGGTAGCATCAATCTTATGTCGAAATGTTTCCTTATTCAATTATTTGTTATGACATTTCAAATGTTATCTCGACTGTTTGTTTACTTTCTCGTAATTTCATCATTCTGCAGGTATTTCAAGTTTATTTGCAAACTCAAAACTTCGAGAAAACAATTGAAGTTACGAAAAATAGTCATAGGTGAAAACTTTAAATTTTAATAAATATTATCATAATGAGAAAGTAATTGAAATTACGAGAAAATAAAGAATTTTTATAGACTCGAAACACCTAAAAATAATCGGGATTACAAAATATAATTGATGTAACAGGACAAAACTTATAAGTTTAGAAAACTATACAACTGTTTGTAATAAAGAGAGATGTGAAAGAAAAAAAGTTGATATTGTTGTCCAAAACCTTGATTGTAAAGGATGTACTTGCAACTCCTCAGAAGCTAAATCTTACGAATCAGCAATGCAATAGAGGGCATGTTTGTCCCTTTCTGAACATGACAAGCCCTTGTTCAAGTACTGAACACCTATGTGTTACAGAAGGCATGTTGAGACCTAAGACAAGATTATTACAGTATTAAAACAGCATACAAGACACAATCGTTGGTAACTCATCTCATCATGGTTCAGGCTGAACTTAACTAAAATAGCTTTTATAACAATGATTATTGTATCATCAAAACAAAATTATTTGTGTCATGCTTTGATCAGTATGTTCATATTGGAAATGTTTAGATAAACGAATATATGGGCGCATGATTTGG